CAAATAATGCGGATTTAAATTATATTTCTATTTTCATTTTTCAGCTATTTCATGCCTCAATTCAAATATATGCGAAGTAGATCTCGGCTCAGTCAATACTAACATAGTGATGATTTCTTTTATCCATCCAAGTTTCACTCCTGCCGATTTTGCTGCAAGATTGGCTGAAATTAAAGAAGAAGATTCCATAAAAGTTTCAATTAGAATAGGAATTCGACAAGGTGCTAAAGGAAAAGGATTTACACGACTAGTGACTCATTGGGAAATAACTGAGGAAGATGTTAACTTGTGTATAGCAAAAATTGTCATGGTAATTAGAGAATTTGAGAAAAGAACTATTAGTAAACTGTAATATTGTTAATAAATAATTGATCTGAATAAATTAATCTGAAGTGAAAATCGCATTTTTTCTGAAACTGTCAAAAAACATTTGATTACATGGCCTAAGCTAATAATCTTTCAAGTTTAACAATGCAGAACCAAATTATAAAGAAAACTAATATGTTAGTGTTTGATGGAATTGGCCGATACTTGATGAAAATCCATAACTAACGTATTCAAAAAACACTTTGTGAGATTTTCACTGAACAATTTTACAAAAACGCAACACATGTTATGCCATACAAGGGCTTCTTTGGTCATATCTTTACATTGTATGGCGAAACACGTGTTGCGATTTTGTAAAACTGTTTAGTAAAAATCTCACAATGTGTTTTTTTGAATAAGTTTGTTACAATGTAGATTTGCAAGTATAGTAGAATTTGTTGAACGATTTTTAGGTATTCATTCATTCATTACTTTTCAAAATTCGTTATTTCATTTTACTTGTGGGGAATAACTGAAACAAGTTATGAACCCCAGTTCACTGACCAAACCTATCACAGAGATAATGTTACACATCCTGCTTTTCAAACATGAACTATTTGCTAAATCAACAAAACTTATATAAGATATATGTTACGACACAACTTCATTCAATCTGACTACAGAGTTCGTTCTGTAAAATTTGAAATGAAGTCTTTTAATAAAAAAATGAATATTTCGATACTGCTAATTCCACATTGGACATAACAGTTTGTGCTTCTCGTTCAACCAGCAGCAGGATCATGTAATCAGTCGAGTAGGTCACTTACTGACTGAAGTATTATCTCTCATCAATACAGTAAAGATCTATTTTTCATGTTTTTTTTTGTCAATATAAGAGGAACTTTCACAAAAAAATGATTTTTTTCTCTTCCTTTCTAAAATACAATATAAATCACTTCATTGACATCACAAAAACTTATTCTTTCTCAAGTTTTCAGCCAAAGAGTATTTACTTGCATTGAATTGCTATACCAAGTAAAGTGAATTTACCTGATATTTTGATGTTATACATAACGGAAACAATAGGTAAAAGCATTGAACCCTGAGAAACATCATCTACTGAACCTTTATTTGAAGAAATCAAAGTTTTTGGCTTTCTACTACTCCATCTTGATACAAAAAAGGGGTGGCATCATGATGGAGTAGTAGAAAGCCAACAACTTTCTTTCCCAAAAATNAGAATGTCAATAGTATAAAAAGTTATTTCTATTACTTAGGTATATATTTAAAATATTAACATTCATAAATATTTACATCTAGTGATTATTTCACATTCGATAATCACAATATTTCCCTTTCAAAAAAATTAAAATTGTCATTCGGAGAAATATTTGAACAGTTTTTGAAATATAAATCATATATTTTTGATTGTTACATAAAACCTTCTTTGTTAGACAGTATAAATCAAGTTTACCAATAAATTGGTTAAGGCTTTCGCAGGCCAAGATTTTCAGTATTACGATCTTCATTCGGGTTTGAAGGCCGTCGTGGTTTGGTATTGCATCCTTACGTTTAGCCAGCACGATGATTTGCCAGCACCTTGATGATTCATCGGTGAATCATCAAAGTGAATAAACCTCTGAGGAAGCCACTTGTGCTGGCGAAACATAAGGATGCAATTCCAAACTACGACGGCCTTCAAACCTGAATGAAGATAGTAACACTGAGTTTACCAATAGTTGGAATGAAATTTTGACAATTTGATTTGTAGTTCTAAGAATAGATATTCTCTATTTAAACTCGAAAGGTTCACATTACCAGTCTGAAAATTTGTTAGATACCAGACTTTGTTTGCTATAACTCCCAAAACCCACATTTTCCTCCCCCATACAGCCTCTTTTTGAATATCCTATTCCCAAATGCCCAACATGTTAGCCAAAATTTCTTGATTGCATAAACCTTTTCAAACAAATAATCGTGTGGAAATAATGTAATTGTGGGTTTTGACAGGTATCCAGTGTAAAAAAAATGTTGGTGTCGATTAATATTGTACATAAACTACAGAGAGCTGAACCAAATTCCATACAATTCAGTAATGTAAAAATTATATCTATTCAAAACTGAAATAGACATGGACGAAAATTCTGAGAATTAATAACAAACCCAAAACCTAATCTCTATACACTAAAAGGTGTTCTGCAATTACAGAACAAAAGGATTTAATCATTTATCAGTGTTGGTAAAAAGTTTTTCAGGCCAATTTAGAAATATTAAAATAAGAAAAATATACTTCCAAAAAATCAATTCTGTTTAGTTTCAACGTGTAAAAATTACAAATCCAAAACAAATTATTGGTACTTATTTTCTAATGAATGACTGTTCTTCATTTATATTGAAAATTACACAATTTTCGGCCAAAAAAAACATAAAAAATACTTTTTTGTTTTTACCTGAATGTTCATTTTTTGGCATAGCATATTTATTTTATTAAATATATTTTGCTCAACTGGAGTTTCTACTGCAAATGAACCACGATGAAGACTTTCCTGCGGGAGCAACTCAAAATTAATATATCTTTTTCCCAACACTGATGTTAATAAAAGGCAGCTTGTTTTATGATCAACTCCTAATAGGAAATGAAAGTCGATGTGAAGAATTTTATCTCAATTAAGTGTTAATACTGAACAAAATATACAAACAAATATATATTTTTGGACATGTTTTCAAAAAAATTCTTCAAATCAAGTACCATTTATTGAATCAGCACAAGTTATGTAGTGAATAAATTACATATGTCTATTTACATAAAATTTAGGTAAAAGAATCTAACGTATAATAACCTAGGTCAAATATTTACCAAAATAAAAATTCATTTTATATTCTCTGATTGAATATTATAAAAATAACTATGTTCACCTAATTAAAAAATATATTGTTCCTTAGTTGGGCAATATAGAAAGACCGTCCGATGCTGTTGGCAAGACTACAGTACTTACAGCATTCTCACTATCTTCTTCGTTTGCACCAGCTACTTGTATATGATGCTGTGGTACCTGTATTTGGACAGGAATCTGAATCTGAGAGTTTGGAACCTGGAAGGAAATAGATTCGTTAAACTAAAAGTAACATCAGTTTACATTTTGACGACCAGCAAAACATTGAATTTTCAACTCTAATTAAAAAAAAACAGTGGACAACAGCAGTAGGGAATAATAAAATTAGAAAGGAAAGGAAATGATGGACGAGTANTGCAACGTGATGTTATAAAACTGAAAAAATTTTGTTTGTGATCCACTTTCTGTAAAGTTTTTTCTAAAAATGGTGGTGTAGCAATTTACAAGAATGATAAAAGTAAGTTAGACTTTTCAGTAATTGATTCAACCAATATCTGCAATGAATGTTTTCTTAATGGTTTAAATGGATTGCTTACATTATTAACTGACAAACATGATACCATAATAATACTAGGTGGGGATTATGGTGTTGGGAAAGAACTCCAGTAATATTCATCCATGATGATAGTTGAATAATTTTCACACTATGAACTTGAAAATATGATCATGGATAGTGTTGATTAAATACCATTGATTATAAATATATGTAGCAACTGATGTACTGAGTATTTAGTTTCAAGTTAGCAAAGTTTCAGTTATAAAAATCAAATATTATCAAGTTGAGATATTTTGGTCTAATATGACCATGATTGGGTTGCTCTAATTGAGAGCAACTCAAGCTGAAAAGTCATCATAGAAGACATCTATGATATGTGATAACAGTAAAAATGTTTGCATATACCAATTATTTTGGAATTGAATTTGAAACAGAGAATATATTATCGTAATAGGATTGGAAGTAAATTATTGAAGGAAATCCTTTAAAAAATATGATGGTACAGATATTTGGATAATATGGATGATATTTTAGAGTGATTTACGGGCACAAGAAGATAGATAGAAAAGTTAGTTGAATTTAACGATGCCATGCATCCTCGATATTGAAGTTTATGGTTTTATTCATCCTGCTGATGTGACTGTCACTGAATTCATTCTATGTTGAAATTGTCAACAAGATACTTTGACATATCCATATCAGCAGCAGCAATAAGTTGTTTCACAAACTACTGAATAATTCAGTTTCATAGAATAAGTTTTGAATGGAATCTAATTTTTTACAAATAGTTTGTATCAATAATGGTTACAATGTAGACATACTTGACTTCATTTTGACCTTTTGACTACCTCCTTCTTCATTTTTATACAAAAAAAATTTGGGAAGCTTCCGAAGACTAGAAGAAATCAATTAAGTTGCAAACACCCTCTCAACAAAGATGTGTATATCAAACACAGAAGTTTCTTCAAGTTACACACTGGAAGAAAAAGCCCTCTGAAAACAAATACTTTTGAACATTGAAGGCAGATGTCCCTTGGAGTGGTCCACTAGATAATAGATATGTCACCTCTAGATGTTTTTGAGGGGATCGTCGAGGGTATGCTAGACGATATTGATAAAAATCATACTAGGTAGAACAGAATTATCCAATTTATCTTACTTGTCAGGCAACAGGAAGTATCAAGATAAGTGAATTGTACATTGTAATATTTAAATTATATAAAACAAAAAAGGCTTATAGCCAAGAAAATACATTTTTGGAATGAGGCCATGTGGTTAGTCAAAGTATCTTAAATATTACAATGTACAATTCACTTATCTTGATACTTCCCGTTGCCTGACAAGTGAGCGCTGTTTTTGTTTTATATAATATTGTCTCTATGCACTATATTTGGAACTAAAATTAAATACTCACTCCGCCAACGCTGATGGTAACTTGTGCTGTACCAGTACTGGCCGAGAGCTGAGGATCCTTGGTTAGCAAACCTTGAGCTCTTTCTGCTTGCTCTGCTTGTTCCTTAGCTCGCCTGGTAATGTGTGCCCTAGCATGTTTCCGCAAATGATCTTTCCTATAAAATCCCTTACCGCACTCCCCACAAATTTCTGTCTTCTCTCCTGAATGTATAACAAAATGTAGGTTCAGATGCTCTTTCCTTTTGAAACCCTTCATACAGACCGAACAAACGAAAGGTCTTTCTGGATTATGCCCAAGTTTATGCCTTTCTAAGTGCTCCTTCCGTTTCAGGCCAGCCCCACATATGTCACAAATAAACCGTCTCTCTATCTTGTGGCCTACCAGATGCTGTTCAAGCAATTCTTTCTCTGGATAAGCCATATGACATTCTGGACAGCAGAACAGGGTAGTACCATCCAGAGCTGTGGCTATATGTACTTGACCTGGAATAAGAAGGAAATTATAGCAAAATACTTTAGTAGTTGGGTTGACTGATGAGGAATAAGAACTGATAAGGTTACTAGTTTAAAAAATCTCCATATATTCGAACCACCGGTTCACACAACGGTCGATTGAATGGGTGGGAGCTACCACCCTCGTCAATCCACCAGGCTACCGTCCTACCTACTGAGGAGGTAGGCTTTATCAAATGACTCAAAAAAAAAACTACTTCCATAGATATTGTCTTCCAATAGGCTTCAGCAAAATACTTCTCAGTAAAGAAGCTGACACAATCATCAGATTGTTCGATTTTCGTTCAAGATAGTTGGTAATTGTTCATGAACAACTATTATTATATATACATATATCATTCCGACAATTTTGATGGTGAAATAGTTGAAAATCAAAGAACCCTAACTGTATGTTAAAATATCCAGTGTCTTAGTAACAAAATTCTACAAGTATATGCAATAACGGACTATGAGCTGAAATGTGATCTAATGTTTATCTCAGAACATTGGCAAAACAATATGCAACGTGATGTTATAAAACTGAAAAAATTTTGTTTGTGATCCACTTTCTGTAAAGTTTTTTCTAAAAATGGTGGTGTAGCAATTTACAAGAATGATAAAAGTAAGTTAGACTTTTCAGTAATTGATTCAACCAATATCTGCAATGAATGTTTTCTTAATGGTTTAAATGGATTGCTTACATTATTAACTGACAAACATGATACCATAATAATACTAGGTGGGGATTATAACATACATTTTGCAGTTGAAAGCAGAGAACTCAATTTCTTAACCAATCAGCTGGCATGTTTCAACATAATATATTCTATCCATGAACCAACCAGAGCAACGGCTAAATCAAGTACTTATCTGGATAATTTCATCATCAGAGATGATTTTGATCACTAAGTCAGTTGAAGACTTTAGGCTGTCTGATCATTATGCTCCAACCATCGTAATTCAAGTAGAAGATGTGAAAAAAGAAAATGGTAATATTCAAAACGTCCGGCGATTTTTTTCAGAACAAGACCGACAAGACAGAATGATTCGTGGGAAGACGTTTATAAAGAAATATGCTCAAACGAAGCTTATGAAAGTTTCAACAATATTCTTAAATGTTACATTGACTTGATATTTATTGACTATTTAGATTACTAGACAACAGGTTTCTTCCACCACCAGTAAAAGTAAAACAAACAGTTGATGACTTGATTTTGGATGATGGATGGCAATTTCTCAACCTTCCAGTCAATTTAACTCTACGCTTAAATGCTTCACTCAAAGATTTCCTGCAAATGCTTTACGATTATTTTTGTCTGTCGGTAAAATTGAAGGTATCAAGTAGAACATGCAAAACGTGTGGTCTTTATCATGCTTCCGTCAAGTCACTAAATCGTCACATCGAGAAGATCCATAAAAAAAGTAAACACGTACACTGATGTCAAAGTTAGACCCTATAAGAGTCGCTGCTCGTCGTTCTAATTATTAAAAATTTAAAAGACGACGATGTTGAATGGCTCGATGAGAACGACGTAGACATTCCAAAATCGGATGAAAGTGAGCAGTCATATAACATTGAGTAGCAAACATCCAATGTCATTGAAAACTCAGAATCATGGATTCGGGTATCATGGACTGAAGACTGTTAATTGAAATTAATATTATTCCAGAAATTTTGAAGAAGTTTGTTTTGTTAGTAATCTTAAGATTATGATATTTGTACCTTACACTTTTTTGAATACCATGTCAATAAAGTGCGTTAAAATCTTCTATCGTAAATCTATTTTCTTATTTCTAGAATAATAACTGCTGCTCATGAATCAATAAAAAAACAAAATACGTTAAAAGAAAAATGCATCTGTATCTGTAGAGTAGGGAGGGTGAGTGTAAGCCCACGCACTTAGGCCACATGTGACCCATTGTACATCCTCCCAAGGAGTTGTCCTCCTAGGTCATCGCCCATCCTGTCCTTTCCAGGAAGGTGGACAGGTCGCTGGAAGACATCTCCTTTATATCGGTAGGTGTAGGCCAAGACTCGCCGAACACACACTCTCTTATTGACGATAACTCCCGACACTCGCGCAGGACATGCCTGACAGTCTCATCTTCCTGTTCACACATCCTGCATAGAGGTGTGTTCACTAGCCCCATATTATGTAGGTGTTTCCTTAGCTGACAGTGGCCAGTCAGAAATCCTACTGTAAGGCGTAGATTTTTCCTGGTCATCGCCAGATATTTCTTCGGCGCCAGCTTCCCAGGGTCGCCCAAGGTGATCCTGGCAAGATTACATCCTTTGATTTCATCCCATCTCTTTAAGGATTAAGCATGGGTGTAACATTTGACTAGTTCCGCAATTGTCGAAGTCATCAGGCCGTGGGTGCCACTGGGTCCTAAAATTCTTAGTCCAGCCGCTTCCTTGGCTAAAGAGCCAAGGAAGCGGCAAGAAAAATGCATATAACAATGTTTACGTAAGCATGGGAGGGGGGGTTAAGAGCTTTGCTTACTTTTGATCACGAGGGGGATGGGGTGGGGTAAATAATTGTAATGAATATGCTTACTTAATACTTGAGCGGCCCCTTATGAGTTCAATGAGCACGTGGTGAATGCACTTGATGGTAAATTCCATATCTGCGGATTGTTCATAGACTTCTCCAGAGCTTTCGATTGTGTCAATCATGAACTGCTATTATGGAAATTGGAAAGATATGGTATAGGAGGAGTTGCTCTAAATTTAATGAAATCCCATTTGGAAAATAGAGGTCAACGTGTCAGTGTTTGGAAACACTCTAAGTCAGTTGACAACCATTAGGCAGGATGTCCCACAGGGATCAATACTAGGACCTATACTATTTTTGATATTCGCAAATGACCTGATGAAATATTTTCAAGGATTATCAACTATTCACACAATAGCGTATGCAGATGACACCAATTTCATAGTAAGAGAAATTGCTGAAACGACCCTACAGGAAAGAAGAAAGAAGATTTATATAAACAAGTGAACATATGGGCTCGTCCAAATATTTTGTTATCCATGAAAACAAGGATCTGCAAATTGAATCTTGTACTTCTACCAAAATGTTAAGCGTCATCTTGGACTACAAACTCACGTGGACTCTTCATATTGAGACACTCTGTATCAAAATGAGAAAAAACTGCTATGCTCTGAGATTCATGGATAATTTCTATAATAAATTGTCACGAGACATGGAATATGTTGCTGAAAGAGTATTTATTTTGCAAAAAATGCAATATGAATCATTGCCGGTATTGGTTGGAGGGATTCATGTAGAGATGCTTTTAAACATCTCAAGGTACTTCCTGTTGCTGGTTTCTATATTTATAAATTATGTAAGGCATATACGTTTATAGAAACAATCATAATATTTTTCTGTTCAACTAGAATGATTTCCTTACAGAGTGATCACTATAACCGGTCAACTGCCTTTTAGACAAATAATTTTAAAATCCTTTTATGAACATTATCTGTGAAACCAATATGATTGAGTTTATGTTTCACTGAATCAATAGCTTTTCATATATCAAGAGAGCGAAGTCCACATTTCTGATTTAAAAAAGCCATACTGTTTATTTTGTAGATGCATTTTTCTGAATAATATTTCGGGACTGGTAGTGAAATATTTTACAAGTGAATAAAGTACTATGAACAAATAAAAGAGTTCAGTCGAATTTTAAAACCCAATGGGAGTTAATAAGTAGTTGTCTATAAAACATTTTACTCACAATTTGAATTCCTTCTTGATTCGAATTATACGCCACGGTAAGTACAGTGGCTCCTTGACTGAAAGCCTGTATAGGTATCTGAGATACTTGATACTTTGGAGAGCTGGCTGGACTTGCTTGAGAAACCTGAGTTTGCTGTGGATTCACCACCTGGATTTGGACAGTTTGTTGAGGGTCTCCAGGTTTCGACCCTGGCATGGTAATAGGTAGAGTTATGATTTGTGTTCCCTGAAATTGAAACTGAAATCAAAATAGGTATTTCATTAGTTCATGTGAATATTTGGAAACATCACTTAATGTTTAGTTAAACCAGACAATAATGAAAAATATAGGGCTACGAAAAAATCATAACATTCAACATATTTCACTGAATATAGATACTAGAGGTAGATATTTTATACACATATACTAATGTTATTAATATCGTTTTCGCAACTAATGAGGGCAGTTATTAATGCTGGGTACAAAATTGTATGCCATTTTAAAAAAAAATATTTTTGAATCATAAAGATAAAATAATGTTTTTTTAAATAACGGGTCTTTGCCTTTGCAAAACATGCCACCGTGGACCAGCCTGCCCAAGCTAAGGTGTAAGGAATCGTGCCGACAGCTAAATGGCCGCAGGGTGATATGTGGTCACGAACGATCCCCTTGGATAACTGGGCGAAACCTTATTGTAATCAGCCTACCTCTGGTAACGCGGGGCTCTGCCAGAGGTGACCCACTCTTCCCTTGCTACTCGTGAGAACACAAATGAATGAAACAAATACAAAAACAGAAACAACAAAAACCAATCCCGAGGCTGGACAGAAGTGCTCACCTCAATCTAAGGCGGTGGCAGGGGATGAACAGAAATGTCCACCCCAATCTACCGCTTGGAATGAGGCTGGACATAGATCACCTTCTGATGCAATACAAAGGCCAAGGTGTAAGCGCATTTGCGGCGTCGAGGCCAAAAGGAGGAAGAGAGCGAAAGAGGCAGGATTGGCAGCAACTATAAGTGCACCCTTCTCCTCCCCCACTCCACCTCCAACAGTAAGGGCACTTCCTGCGGCGGGCGCCAAGAGCTCTGCCGGCAAGAAACCGGCTGCCCCTGCAGGAAAGCTCCCTCACTTCTGTACCTCCACGGAGGGAACCCCAAGAAGGTTGAAGAAGCCGCGCAATGACAGTAATGTCGCTGCACCTGTTCGGGCAACGTATCGCGCGCTTCGCCCATTATACGGTTGCCATAATCATTCTGCCGAGAAGACTATTCGCAATGTGGCAGATAAATTTGAGTCCACCGGTAAAGTAAACGATAGACCAACACCCTTAAGTCCACGAAACGCAATATCTGCCGAAAACATCGTCGCTGTCTGTGACAGTGTGCAGGAGAATCCGAGGCAATCGATTTCGCGTTGCTCACAACAACTCGGCCTTTCGCAGACCACAACTTGGCGAATTTTGCGTCGTGACTTGGGCCTGCACCCGTACAAAATTCAACTGACTCATGAACTGAAGGTACACGACCATTTACAACGACGTGTGTTCGCTGAATGGGCTCTGGAGCAGTTGGCAACTGACCCCAATTTCCATCGAAAAATCATATTCAGCGATTAGGCCCATTTTTAGATGAATGGGTATGTGAACAAACAAAATTTTCNCAGAAATGAAAATTCAAAAAACGAGGAAAAAAAATCTATGTTTGAGCTACTACTCAATGTTACTTTCAAATAGTTTTTTATTAAAACAGTCTGGCTAATTGGTTCTCCCAAAGCCAAAAAATTTTAAACCACACCAACCAAAAGTATTTCAGCGGCGATGCGTCCATATCGTATCGGGCGCGTGAAGTCCTTTTTTCGGCGTTCAATTGAATTATAAATAAAGATAGCGTTCCGGGGGTTGCAACTTTTCCATTGTAAATTTCCTTCTCTGTCTGAATATTTTTTCATTTTTCAATTATTGGTAACTTCAGAGTTATCAACGAAAAACTGAACGCCTTCCTTTTTCATCATATTTTGTCATTAACAATTGCAAATTATATGTGCTTTGAATTCATTACAATACATTTTTCTACATGTCATTCTAAATTCAATGAGCTGTGGTCATAGTTTTAGAAGCTACGTCTATATTTAACGCAAGTTCAACATGTGAACCACACTAAGAGTCAGGTCTTCACGAACAATCACATTCGTTTGCCAAACTCTGAATATTAATTAGTCTCCAGTTATCTTATGATGCACTTGATTTGGTGTTGGGAAAAAACTTCAGTAATATTCAAGTTATCTCAATGAGGAAAAGAGAATTGAAACTTTATAAAAGTGGTAAAAAACATAGAAAGTTTTAATTCTGCGTTCTTCATTATGATCTCATGTAACGGCTACATCCATCAACTTACTTCAAGTTATCTTGTTGTTACAAGGTACATGAAAGCAATTTCAAAATGAGTCAATCATCAAACAGAAAATTGAGAAACAAATTAGAAAAAGTCCAGCCCAATTTACAATTGGGCTGGGTTCAATTTAAATTGAAGAAAAAAAATGCCATTGCCCTATTTTTTTCATATTGTCTGCAATAATGCTTTACTCATTGTTTTACCTGATTCTGTTGCGTGAAGGCGTTGGGATCCAATGGACGAATAAAATGGACGCCATTCTCACCGCCCTGTAGAAGACCAACAACTTGACCATTCGGTGTAGTGACACTTTGGGTAATTTTACCCCCAGAAAATTGGGTGGCTACTGGTAATGCTGCAGATAAAGGAACGCCAAACGGGCTGAAGTTCATCTCGCCTTATCTGAAACAAAATACAAAAACAAATTAAATAATTTTTCATTCCTCTGGAGTCACATGGACAATTTCGTGTACAACGAAATGTTGCTAGCGCATGATATGATTTGATCAACAATCTGAAACCATTTTTGATATATTTTTATAATAATAATATGAAATGATACCTCACGTGAAGTGGAATTTGTATTCCACCTTATTACATTGTTATTTCGTATTAAAAATTCGGCATATATGCAAATATCGCTCTGTACATCAACGGAAGGTTCTCTTGTTCACTCGTCGTGTTTCAAGAATTTACTGGAAACAATGTTTCGTCGTGTTTCTTTATTCGCCAGTTGAATTTCATCAATTAAACGTAACAGCTGTCAAATAATGGCTTTGATTAGTTTATGATTAAATCGATGAACTTGTTGTAAATAAAAAAGTAATGAAATCCGGTGACCCGGTGATGACAAATGACACAATGTTACCATTTCCGAACAAAAAAAAAATTGACTTATTAATAAGAACCTTATAAAAATATTATGCAAAACCATAGATATCCAAAAGATATACTTAGATGTCTTAAAAAGAATGACAAGGAAAAGAGTCGATGAGAAATAAAAGTTAAAATTGATGGCTTTGAAATAGTTACGTTTCCAAATGAGAACGTCCACCGATAGAAATCAACCTGTATAACAAACCTACTTCAGGAAGGACCCAACATTAGAATTTGATTAGTAAAAGTATCACTGTTGTTTTTATTTGGAAAAGTCTTCCAGACATATTCTAACAGCAAAGGAACCTCCAGAATCAATAAATAAACTAAAAACAAAAACCTTGGACTACACAAAAACAGAAGAGTCTGTAAGAGAGTTTCACCAGTTGTATTTCTCCGGGTCAAAATTACAAAAACAATGGTAGATGTGTATAATAATTATTCAAATGAACCATAAATTCATTCCAACCCAATCAGTCATCGGTACTAGATTGCATTTACTCAGTAATGTTGCAAAAAGGACCAGAACTTCTGCTTTAAACATTGTGCGGAATCCGCAGGGCAAGTTTGCCTCTGGAATACATACCAAAAGCATGGCGACTGGTTGGGGCCACCCAACCTGGGAACCTGGGAAAATCGGTAGAGGCCGTAAGACTACTACATCGAGACCAATAAATTTGTCTACAGATCAGTAACGACTTTATGTGGGTTAAGAAAATATGCTAACTAGAACAAGGAAGTGTCTTAGCTACCTTCCTTGTTATAGAGGGGGCAGTCGTTAATACGTCCGTAGAATGAATCATCCTGGCGTCGAGAAAAGGGATTCAACGACACAAGCTGCATGTGAAAAGACTGCTTAGAGGGAGATTGTCACGCCCATGATGGGCGTGACAGTAGTGTGCCAGATACAGATCATCAACTCCACATATAGGTCCTGTATCTACTATGGAGGTATCACAATCTTTGGAACTGGAATAACATGTCCTGGAACACACGCAGAAAAACTTTTGAAAAGGTACTGCCTAGGAAAATAATTGAACTGCTTCAAGAAATAAGTAGACTTGGTTGTGAAAAAAGGAGACGCAACTTTATATTCTTAGTAACTATAACCTATCCAGAAGCTTCTGAAAAATGTATCAGTGACAATTGCAATCTTCAATTTGTTCAATTCATTTTTTATTGTCAATGCAAGATTGTTTACAGTTGATTTCTTTCTCAACAAATTCATGACTCAAATGTATTTTTGATCCAGTTTGAAATCAATCCATACAGATTAATTAAAATTTTGCTGAAGATATAAGAATTATGACAAGATCCATATCTTTCCATTACAATTGGGGATTACTCGTGCACATTTTTAAATATAGGTATGCTGAAGATATGAATATATCTTTAGAAACAGTGTGTTTGAACTGGTGCGATGATTAGTTTGTTTTAATCTACTATAACACTTTTACGTGGAATTCGTTTTAGCTGCCCCTCCCTCAATACAATAAGTATGTATGTACGATGTCTCCCACCGGCCATGACTCAGTCTACCCTGGATTTTTTGCAATATTATCCATAGCAGGATATTATCTGATATAGTGTAAACACTCTTGACATAGTTCGTGAATCAATCAATAATTTCTCTCGGGTTCCAGTAGGTATAACTGTCATTTTTCATTAATTTGAGGATTCGTCTTGAATATATTTCATTTAGAAAGATATATTTTTAAATTATTCATATTAAACGTATACTTTTTGAAATTCTTCAGTTCGCTCCTCGCTTCCTCACTCCTACTTGATAGTTCGTACTGGAACCTCCGGTGTAAAATGAATCTATTGAAAACACTTTCCCAACACCTGAACAAAAATTACGGTCTCTCTACTCTCTACTAGTATTACCCAACTACACCGGTTAGTATTACCCAACTACACCGGTTAGTATTACCAAACTACTTCCTGTTATTGATCCTACCTGTTTTCAATACCTCTAATCTGTTATGTATTTTCTTTTTGTTAGTGATCTCTAATATTTACCGTCTTTTTATTTAGAATTGTTACGTATAAGACCAAACAAAGGTCTGTCCGGAATAGGACCTTTGTCGCTATTCATAGAACTCATTCCGCAACTTTCGATTTCCAAACTTTCGAAGGCATCCAGAAACCTACTGTCATGTACCGGTCTCAACAATTTTAAACATTTCTTATTCATTCTATGGTCGTTCTCTATGACATGTTGAGCGACACTATATTTCTCCGGTCTATGAAAACGAACATTCAAAACATGTTCCTTGTAGCGAGCTAATATAGCCCGTTTGGTTTGACCAACATATTTCTTATCACAATCCTCGCAGGTTATTTCTTAAATCTCAGACTTTTCCCAACGTATTGTCTTTCGGACTGCCCAACACTTGTTGAAGTGTACGTGCAGTTTTGAAAGCCACTCTTATATTCAATTTTTTTAATGTTAGAACCAACCCCTTGGTGTATTAGGGTTCATATGAAAGCACTGTGAATTTTGAATATTCCTCTTTCTCTCATACCCTTCTTAAGGAAAATGTGAGCAGTCTGTGGACAAGAAATTGTAGTTTCGCTATTTTTTGTTTTGAGCAATGATGGGAGCTGTCAGTCAGGGATACTTACCTGAAAGTGCTCATATTCTTTTTATATACATCAAACTCTAGACCCTTATCGACATTTTAATAACTAGTACCTACATCTGTGAATGGTAGTTCGTTATTTTCAATTTCAAACGTGAATTTCATACTTGCGAGTCTGTTGAGCAAAATACAATATCCTCTACCATACTCCTATTCGAATCGATGATGGCAAATACATCATCCACGTATCGGATCCAGGTTCGTGGAAAGTAATCCAATTCTTCCTTTGCTTCCATTTCAAATCTGCTCATGAACAGATTAGCAATGAAAGGAGACAACGGGTTTCCCATTGCCGTACCCTCATGTTACCCACAAAAACAGTTGGCGAACTGAAAGCAATTTTGTTCCATGCAAATTTCGGTAAGCCAGTTCGGGCGTCGAGAGACCGTAATTTTTGTTCTGGTGTTGGGAAAGTGTTTTCAACAGATACAATGACTACCTTAGTAACTTCATTATTAACTTGTGATGCACTGTTTGGAACCTTTGGTGTAGTAATGAATATTTCTGGAGGTTTTTCCCAACACCAAACCGTTATTTTAACACCTAGACACGTGTTTCGATCACCAAGTGATCATATTCAAGAGGAAGATCAAACTTTCTCTTCATCTTCTTCGAAGATGAATCACTTGGTGATCGAAACACGTGTCGAGGTGTTAAAATCAAGAGGTAGATCAAACTTCCTCTTCTTCAAAGATGATCACTTGGTGATTGAAGCACGTGTCGAGGTGTTAAAATGACGGTTTGGTGTTGGGAAGAAACTTCAGTAATATTCAACTTCATTATTGTTCACAACTCCAGAAATAAAAAAATCTGTTTTTCCGTTAATCAGCTGTCACCCCTATACGAACGACACCTCTCAGAAGTTGAGAAACTTGTGCGAGCTAAGGACTAACGAGGTCTTACCTTTTAACGTGTAATTCCTAACACTGTTGCAGAATCATCCCAGCTTCAACCAGATAAATTCTCTCGAGAAAAATATCTGGTCGAGGCGAGAATCGAACCCACGGCCTTCCGATCGTAAGACCGCGGCCAATTCCACAAATAATTACCAATTACCACGGATAATGTATTATCTCCAATTGAAAAGTAATTGACATATTCCACATCGACATTTTCATTCCGTAATGAATAAACGAATAAATCTTCTGGAATATTTATAATGTGAATGATTTGTTAGTGATAATAATAAAATCAGCAAAGTTGGGAAAAACACTGCCTTCTAAAAAAATGTGCAATTACAGCAAGAATCGTGAGCCATTATTAGATTTACATTTACAATTAGTTTTATTTTTGAGTTTGAATATGAATTAGACGTTCGTAAATATTGTGATTCTTATAAAGGAATAAGTTGTTTAGCTGATACGCAACGCAAACAATGAACACTGGTATAAATTAGAAATCTGCAAATTACACTAATATCTTCAAATTTCATGAGTTTCACTTCCTATTAAAGAGGACAAAATATGCAAATTACAAAAAGGAGACTTTTCTAAGCAGGCATATTAAATTTGAATTGAATTCAATACAATGAGTTATTTGTCTTTGTACTGATTTTATGACAATCAAAACTGGCTGTGCAAAAAATATATCTGTTGACAGTGTCTATTATAAAGTCAAAATGTATATGAAAACTGTGCAGTGAAGGTATAGAAAAGAAGGGATGAAGTAATAAAAGTAAAAGTTCGGGAATCCATTCAATAAAATTACCTTTTGAAACTTTTTGTATACCAATTTTTAATAATTTATATTGACACAGCGTAATAAAATTTTGGGATGTTACTTCTTCAACTTACGTACTTTCCCTGTATCTCAATTTTACGAGAGAAATTGTGATAAACAACGTTGTGTAAAATCAAATCTCCACAATTTTGGTCCTTTTCA